GAAAAGCGCGAAGTTACCAGGAGCATAAAGTTGTTCCTCACATCCCCTGACGAAGCAGCACAAGCTCTACAAATGCAGTGATTTTTTCACCATGTTGTAATCATCAATTATCAGTGTACTGCAGCACAAAATCTGACACCATCCAATAGCCTGCACGGAGTTGAATCTACACTTTCCAATGGCTCTCTCAATAGCAACAGCAGTTTAATAATTAGGCTTTATGTCTCCTCGGACAAAATGACTCAACACAGACGCTCCCTCAAAGTCTAACAAACAAATTTGGTCTAACCCAGTTATGTCAATATGAAACAAAGACTTTATCTGGGATCTAGTTTAGCAGTTTTGTTCTGGAGAGATAAGTCCACATCATGATCAATGGGACCATAAACCTCCTGATGCAGTTTGTAACCTCTCCCCACGTTTTTTTCAAAATAAGATGAAACTCACCAAACTATTTTTTTTTAAAGCATTACTTTAATTTACACTGTGATATATTCAGAATTCTTTCTAGTCAAATCTTCTTTTTGATCTGCCCAATTAAAAGAGCCTCTTAACAATACACAAATTCCCCATTTCTCGAACATTTTCCCCATCTTTGGACATGAACAATATCTGAAGAAACCACACACTCCCTCTGGAGTTCACTTCCCTCAGTCTAACACTTCACATCTCAACATTTCTTGAAACAGCTACTGCCAAAGGGCCTGACTGTGGCATCTTCACATCGATACCACAAACACCCAACTGCAGTCAGTGAGACTGGCCATGAAGAAATCACTGAGTTGGGCACAGGCACCAGAACCTAGTCCAGACTTCTTATGTCTATCAAGCATTCTTTCTCCATCATATACACAAACAAAACTGTCTTTTTCATTTGTATACAATCAGTGGAGTAAAAGTGCAAAAGGTATAAACCAGGATGCAACGAGATACATGTAAGGTTTTTCCAAGTAACAAAAAAACCCCTTCTTTTCCTACTTTGCGGACACATAGCAAAATCAGTATTTATCTAAACTCTTCAGAAACCTTCAAGTGACACTTCACAACTACAGTAGAGTTCAGCTGAAAGACAAAGTGAAGAAAAGAAACTTCCCTACAATTCTTTATATAAACTTCCTCCTCGTTTCTCCACATACCGGCTGCATTTGTATTGCTGCTCCGGTTTGTCCTAAACACAGTCACCTTGTAACCCTCTTTATCAAGCCATCTATGCACCACCTAAAAGTACACTACACCCCACCAGACCAGCTATAGGTTCACATTATACAAACATCCCAATTCTGCCTGCTCAGCGCAGGTTGTCAATAAATGCAAGAATTGCAAAACAGCACTGTGTGTTTTTTTCCTTGAGAGAACACTGATACGAGCCTGCCAGTTCTGCAAAATAAACTCTTTGCAATCTCTGCAGCTAATCTGTCAACAAATTACTATTAAAGTCATACCTCCTGAAAGTTCAAAAGCACTCTGGATTAGACAAAAGATACTGAGGTTTATACTCGTGGGGCAGTACTTGAAGTTAGGGTATCAAAGTGGATCTTGCTATTGATGTGGAGAGGTTTGTGCTCCTGCCACCACGCAACGCAGCGTTTGGTGTCTTGCTGCTAGATATTGGAATTCAACTCTGTGTTCATTCTCTTTGTTCAATTCAGATTCTTGTTTCTTTGCTAATAATGTGAAGAACACTTTAATGAATAGTCCTGAGGATAAAAATAAAACACAATAAATAATATTTATTTTATAAGCTAAAAAAAAAACAGAAAAGAACTGGCTAGGACTGAAGCATCAAACCCTCTATTTGAGTAGATGTCAGAAACCACTGAAGCAACTAAAGCTGTGATCATGTACATTAAAAGGCAGTTTGTCTCCATGAGTCTTTATTTATTACTCCTTGGTAGGCAAGTCACCCCATCATTACATACTTTCTGTCCAAGCCTCTCTCATCCAGCCTGACTTTCGGATTGTGGGTCACTCTGACACCCATTTTGAACCTTCCAGATGTTTTCTCTGATGGCTCAGCTGACAGATGTTGCCAGCCTCTGCCTGGTACCCTGTTCCCAGGTTTTATGCCCCATCCCTTGGCTCTCCCTTGGTGGGAACCTTGGGAGAAGGCTCCCTAGCCCTGCTGCCTGACCCCATGCCTAATGATCACTTCTGACCAATGATCACTTCTGATCTCTTCAGAAAGCCAAATGAACCAAGTAACCTTCATGCCTACTCCAGGTTTTGTAGGCAGGTCACCAAAACCCTGCCCACTCCACCTCATCCTGACAGTCACTTCCATGAGATGCCAACCATCAGGCACCTGTGGGCTCAGCAGCAGTGGGAAGACAACTTCCTTTCCTTCCCTTTCAGTCTGGTTCTAGAGACAATTTCTCTTACGTGTACCTCCAATTTTATCCAACACTTCCACAGATGTACTGACCCTGAAGAGTCACTTGTATTGCTCTATCTTTCTTACTTCACAACTACAAATACAAACATCAGTTGGAGCTATTTGGTTTTATTATACCTGACAGAACTCATCCCTGTATTTGCTACTCCCAGCTTAACAGTACATTTTACAAGATTGCTAATGTTACAATAATTTAGCTTCACATCACTCTCTGTCTCCTGGCATAGCAGAATCACCCTATGATGACATGAGAAGCGCAGAACTTGTCCTACGAGTCCTGCCTGCACTTCCTACAAGAGTGCTCACACCATACACTGATCCTGCAGACACATGAACATCTGTGGTGCTCTATGTTTTTCCACAGTAAATAATTTACAAGTTGGTAAATCCATTAAAACTTCCTTAAAAACCTGAAGTATTTGTTTCCCTCTCTCATACTAACAAAGTCATTAGTCCTTATAAATTCATAAATGTCACCAAAAATGTGAACCCAAATTCAGCACAGATGCTTTAGACAAGTCACTGTAGGTCCAGGTTTCACGGCTCAGCCACACTCATCCTGGGAACACACAACGAACCACACCAGCAAAGCTCCAACTACCCACCACTGATTTTTTTCATTTTCCAGACAAAACAAGTGCCAGGTGGCAAAAAGAAAAGATTTGAATGAAATGCTCTTAAGAAATAGCTGTTTAATTCAGATCTCATTCATTTGTATTGAAGAAACATTTTGTAGAACGCATTCTGTTAAGTGACCTGAGAGCATATGTTGTATATGGAGAAACATCTAAACATTATGCTCCATGTTGTATGTGGATCTGTAAACGCTTGCATTAGCTGAAAACAACGGGTTTGTCTTATTTTCAGCACTTAAAAATATTTTCCAAACACAAAGATTGATATTTTTATGCTAGCTCTGATTACCCTTTTGTTGTCATCAGGTTGTTTTGTTTTGTTTCATTTTTTAATAACTGTTTTAAACTTTGCAATCAACTTGCTTTTTGAAAGATAAACTCCATGGAGAAGTTAGTCATCAAAATCAATTAACAGCAGAATTCCAACACAGAACATAAAGGTCTTCAAGGAACCTGGAGGAAAGCAAGCTCCCTGAACACATGTATTGTACTGGCAGAGGATAAATAAACTATAAGCGCAAATCTGAGCTGAGTGAAAGCAATCCCGAGCCTGGCAGTCCTGCTCTCTGCTTCCACCAGCACTCGTGGCTGTGCTGGGCACTGTCTGGGGAGGGCTGGAGGACCCACGTAGGAATGAATTGGTGCCACTCCTTAATTGACTGAATGGGTGGCTGCTGAGTGACACAACCCATTACACGCAAGCTTAGGGCGTTATCTATGGTGGCGAGAGCGCTCTGCGTGGCTGCGGGAAACCCTGGCACGAGGCGCCGGCAGAGGAGGTGGGTGACCTGCAGTAGGAGCAGAGGTCTGAGCAGTTCTGGTCTAGGGGTACACGTGTTTGTATGATCTCCCCCCACCCCCCATTTCTCCCAGCACAAAGAGCACTGGAAAATTCCATAGCGCTCCTATGGAAAACGCAGCGTAATTAACTCATTTTGATACGAAGCCTTTTTAAGACGAGACCTTTGTGTTGAACATATTTTACTGTTCCACTCCTCTTCTACTGTCCTATATTAATCAAAGCTGTAACCCCTGTTGTCTTTGCACTACGAATCAGAATGTGCCCCTGGCGAAGAATGAGGGAAAAGTCAACAGGAATTAAGTTTCAGTGCAACTGTTTACTCAACTGTGGCCTGCAGTTATTGAAATTTTATCCGTGGTTTTGTGTGACTACTGCAGTAATGAATTCAGCATGGCTGTGATTTTCTCACTGATGGTATTCTCACTTCAAGTAAAAACCTGTAGGATGAAAATGACTGAAACAACCAAAGTCTGTGCATTTAGTATCATCCATTTTTCTGACTTGTTTAATTATGGCAGCTTTCTGTCTTAGGTTGGCAAACGGAATCCCCCGCTCCTCCGCAAGCCTTTGCTTTGCTTTGTTTTTGAGCACAGGTTTTTTCTTCTCCACAACAACCTGCTAAAAAGATCACTGTACACTTAGGGGAGTCTTAACCAGCTGCCAATCGCTTATTTAAGAGGTTTCAAGAATGCTTATTGTGTTAGAGAAAGCGCGGGTTAGGCGTGAGTGTGTTCACCATGGCTCTGCTGCAGCCTTTGTTCCCAAACACGTTAGCGGCACATGCCCAGCACCCTGGTGTAAAATTTCCTCAGAGGGCTTCAAAATTTTATCAGAGGAAAGAAAAAGACAAAACATACCATGCCGATAATTTACAGTGGTGAACTTGGTCACTTCCCAGAAAATACACTAATTAAAATACAACAGCAAAACGCACAATTTGGCTCTGATGCTTCCAAATTGAGGAGCACTGACACGGGATGTATTTATTTATTTATTCAGAGGTTTTGCCACAGCAGATACCTCTGCAGCCTTCCTCACTAATCGAAAACATTCTGTTGATAGAGGTTGCTAGGTTATACTAAAATATGTTGCAAAAACAAAACTTAACCTTAGTGTATTTTCCACCCAGTGACATATTTTGGAAACCAGTTATTTGTATACAGCGGTTCACCCAATTGCTGCCACTAGACTCAACACATTCAGGCAACGGAAGCAAGCCCTGATCTTTGGGTACTTCCAGGGAACGATTAAAAAAGGAGCCACAGAAGAAAAGTCCAATATTTCCCTTTACATTAACGACTGCAATCCTCTACGGGCAAAAATACACAAAATGTCATAGGCAAGTCCAAAAAGCATCCTCTGGCTGGCAAAAACGAAGGGGTTGGGGGGAGGGGGGTAAATGCTTGAGGCTTTGTCTGTAAGTAGGAAACTTGTAATACGTCTTACAGTACCTGCTGTTGCTGAAGATGTGCTAAATCTGCAGCCCCAATTTCAACTGAAGGTGTCTCGCCGTTTGATCTCACTTCCCGCAGGCTGCACTCTAGTAAATGGTTGCCACCGCTCGCTCCATTCTGAATGGCTGAACCGTTACTTTTTGTCTCAGTCCCAGATTCTTGCATCATGACTCAAAAACCTGAAATAATTTAGGGGAGGGGAAAAAAAAAAAAAAAAAGCAGCTGTTAAAACAGTTGCTGTATATAAGGAGACAAGCCCTGTTTTAAATCCTGCCAAAACTGTAAACATTTGTCATTTCCCTTCATACGATTTATCTTTCATTAATGGTTCATGCTACTAGTTTATGTTTATTTATCTGTTGGTACAGCTATAATTTTAGTAAGCTAGTTCTGTTCTAAATATAGTATTATTTGCTCAACATCTTTTTTCCCTTAGAGAAAAAAAAATATTTTTGAACGAACACACAGAATCCATAATTAAATTTCTCTAGTTACATCTGGACGCTTTCCTTTGAAACGGGTGAGTCATTCTCTGCAACATATGATGGACAATATCAAAAACTTGCTGTATGCTACAGAGGGGCAGGCAGGTGAAGCAGAGCATTCTCTAGTTTGGTTTCCATTCACACCACAACACTGCCAAATTAGCACCTTTGATTACTCTGAAGCAATTCAGGCTGAGTCTGGGATGTGCTGGACATTGTCAGGTTTTGTTTGGGGAAAACTGCTCCAACTGCTCACAGGTTTTTTTTTGGCAAGTTTCTTGGTGATGTATTTGCTCTGACTCTGGATGCACCACGGCATTATGGTGAAGAGCCTCCCACATTATCTGGCTAAACAGCATCTTAGTATTCTCAGCCAGCCCACATGGCTCTCAGCTCATTGTAGATGCCTGTCTGTCCCCAGGTGTGGATTGTGGGACCCACAACAAGGATGAGGATGGTGCCCACTTGCTTACCCCAGAGCTCCTGGGATTCACACATGTCTTTGGGAACTAACTGGCAAACACACAACACAACTCCCCCAAACAAAGCACACGCCAGCTTTCAGCTGCACGCCACTACCTTTGAGAGCTTTCCATGGGTTGTTTCATTGGTATTTCCACCTGCAAGGCCTGAAGCTCCAGGACTTGAGTATTACTAGGCTGCTGTTTCTGCCAGCCCACCCCTCCCTTAGTGCCCCCGAAAGCCAAGCTGCACGCCCTGAGCACATTGCCTACCCCATGGGAACTCACCACGTGCAGCTGTGAGACAACTGCCTCTGTGCGGGGCAGCTCACCTGGGAATAGGAGGGTTCACATTTAACAGAGAACCTGTTTGAATGCAGTAACCACACCGAATCAAAAGGAGGAAGAAAAACCCTTTCCCTTCTAACATGTAAGGGGAAACATCAATTGGAAAGGGCGAGAGCATGCAAGGTGTTTCAGTGGGAAGTCCCAAGGGAACCCCGTCCCTGGGAACCCCACACACGCGTGATTCGGAGCCCTCGGGGCCGAGGGGGCAGTACCAGCTGGAGGCAGCAACTCCTCCTTCCAGGGGCCCAGGTGTCTGCTGGCCCCAGGTGACATCCAGCATCAGACCCTGAGTGCAGAGGAATGCTCCAGCCCAAGGCACCAATACCAGACCTCTCATTCAATGGGTAGCTCCAGATGTTCATACTGATGACCCATGGCTGGTAATCAAAGCACCAGAGCTGACCAAGGAGGGCTTTGTCACCACCATGCTCTGGTGTTAGCACTCCTTGCTGACCCACACCCGAGGAGAGTGAACCACCCACTAGCTGGACCCCACTCCAATCGTGATGGGACCTGTTCATGCTGATGGCCACCCAAGCACATGGACACTGCTAGGATAGATTCAAATTCAAACATTCTGATTACATTTAGATATATTTCAGCTGGCCTATGGAAACTTCTTTCAATCTGTTTTGTGAAATCTTCAAATTATGCAAGGGGACAAAAGGGTCTGGGGGCTCACTTTAAAGCTTCTGTCGACTCTCTTGTAAAAGCTCCACAGATCCAACCAAACCTGCAGCTTTCCCAATGCCTCTAGCAAATGCTTTTGGGGTTTAACATGATCCTGCTCTGACACAGACTAAGCATCGTGTGGTTTTCATTTTCAGCAGTATAAGGAAAGCCCACAAGCATGATAAAGTCTAAATAAGTGCTTATATCTAACAAGCAAGGCTGCATTACACATCAGGCACAGACTGCATGGCACAGGTTGCTTTGGGGGAAGAGACTGGAGTAAGATTCTCCAAACAGCTCACAAGTTACTCGAAGGTACACCAGGCAATTTTGATATGCTACACTACTACAAAGGACACACCTCTTTTAACCAAAGACAAATCAAAAAGAAAGAAATGATGTCAGTGTTTTCTGCTTCCATCCAAATTTGGGGTCAAGCCTCAGCTGGAGAAAATGGATCATTACATTAATCTACCAGAGCAGAAGATCTGGATAAGGGTGACCACCAGGTAAGAGTGGGTCAGCAGATTAAACCCAGAGACTCCTGTCTTCAACTCCTCTAATGCACGATGGCAGATGGTGGGTGGCACATAACCATCACACAGACTGCACCTGACAGAGAGGGACATTCTAAAGAACTGGGGGAACGTGCCTCCAGCAGACAGCGTGGTGGAGAGAGATCCTAAAACCAATATGCTGAAAAAGTACATTTCATTCTCCAACAGTTCCGATGCAACAAATTGACTGCAAGCGAGAACCAGGATAAACTACTCAGGAGTGTCAGAGAAAGCACCAATGAAATCTCTGAGATGCCTCTGACAGCATCAAAAAGAATGTGCACCACTGAGGAGCAGATCTATCACTGCCTGATCACGATTTGTTGGCTTTGAGCCATATACGAGCAAAATATCTCCAGGACACAGAAAATAATTCACACCCAAACCGGTCAAGAAATTATTTACTGTCTCTAGGATTGCAAAATGCTCCTGGAAAGAAATAACAGTAGAAATTGCAACAATTTTTCCAACCTATAGGACTGAGAAAAAGATGGATTACTTATAGTATTTGGTCACAAAGAGATCATAGATCTTGAGACCTTTCCCCACGACAAAGTACCCCAGGCAGCTACCACCTGAGCTGCATGGGGCTGGCCCCGGCCCCTCACCGGCTGCGTCCACCCTACATATCGTGCCCAGCAGAATCAGCAGGAGCTATTATGGAAATGGAGCTGGAAATGGAGTTTGCAAAGAGAACGTCAAACGAGTAGAAAGAAAATTGTGACATTTGGGCTTTCAAAAAATTATTCTAAAAGCAGAAGTGAACATCTCTGAGCAAATTCTGCTTTCAAAACACCCATTCACAGGCAGTCAACTTCAATATAACTTCAACTGGATGCCAATACAAAACGAATCCACTTCGCTAGGATCCCTCCAATAGAAAACAAGATTTTCAGGGGAGAAAAGATAAAACTGTTTATTTCTTCACTGTAGTCAAATGTGAGGTGACATAAATAATCACGGTTTGGTTTGATCATTAAGCGTCATGTCATGAAAATCAACCTGAGAGAGTTTTCTGCAAGAATGATTATTATTTGTCTTCTTGAGCACACCTAAATGAGCTGAGGTGATGGTACACTGAGGATGGCTGGGGTAATTGTCTCTCCTCAGCACAGAGGAGCGGGCCTTTCAGAAGCCTATTAGTGAAGTCTGTCATTCAAAATTATGGAAGAATAAAGCAAAGCGAGGTTGACTTTACGCAACATGATTAGGTTCTGTGGGAACCAAACTGAAGCTTCAGGTCTAGTACCACTAATTATGATTCTGGTCTGAATACAACCCCAAGTAACCAAAACAGTGCTGAAGAAGATGCTACACTTAATGATTTATTATAAGCAATACAGTACTCCACAAAAGCTTCCATGACATTCAAGGAACCATGTCTGACTGAAGAAATTTGATGGCAAAAGTGCATGTGCATCTTGTGTTCTACAAAGCAGAATGACTCTCACATCAATTCTGCAAAGGAAAGTGTATTTTTACAGCTTAAAATAGGTGGGTTTTTATCAGTGTAAGTATCTTTCTTTTTTAAATCAGAATTCTATGATATTTCATGTTAGGAGGGATACAGAATGACTCTTCAGATTACTAAAGGTGACACAAGATGTTTTTTCCTTTTTTTGGAAGGGACCAAGCTAAGCTGCAGTATTAACAACAATTTGTAAAATTTTATCCTGAAAACAAGGAGCATGTAATAAAAGAACTCTTCTTATACAACTTAATGTCAGCGTGGTTTAAAAATCTCACAACAGTGATCAATTTGTCAAGACTCCCATCTTAACCTGCACAAAATCTTCTCTAGCTTTGATGCACAGTCAAATACAAAGCCAAAGCCACTCAGTTCACTCCACCTCCTTGGTGAATACGTCAGGTTCAAGGTAATGGAGTAAAATTTCAGTGGAGTGGAACCAAAGCAAGGCACTCTGTCAACAGGAGGACAACAGCTAATCATCCTCCAAATGACTTGGACAGAAGTAAGGGAGAGGTAATTTCTTAAGAGCGTAGTCCAAACTGAAAAAACATCAGTGGGATGTGAACTTTGGCTGAATCAAAATGATCTCTGTGAGGACTCCAGTATTAGTGTTTTGAACTATAAAGCTAGAACCTGAAAGAATCCTAATTTTGAAAATGTTCTGCGCTAATCCACTACACAAAAAAAGAAAAGAGAAAAAGTTCATAACATCACAAAGACCAGATGCTGCAGATACACGTCTCCCAGCTCCACTGGACTATTCAGATGAGCAAGGTTAAGCATGGAGATTAGTAGGCAGGAGGTGGGCGCTGAAGTGTGCAATTTCTGCAATTCTTCTACTAGTAGAGCTTCTAAAGACTAAGCAGCATTGTTTAATGTCAGCATGAGGGAGGATTTACTGACTGAAGCACCCGTCAGAATAAGGACCCACTGCAAGTCTGAAAGAGGAAGGGACTGATAATTCAGATGTATTTAGATGCCTCACCATACACGAAAGCATCTGGCGAGACATTTTTAAGACTCCTGAATAAGCACCAATCTACATCTTTAAGCATCTCATCACCTTTAAAAAAACTATCCCTGGGGTCTTCTGGGCCTTAAAATTTCTGGTTTAATATGCTTCCAGACTCAATGTGCACAAAGGATTCAGAAGGCAGCCTGCATGTTTCAAAGT